CTTTTATGTTTTATGGAATGTTTTATGCTTGAGATAAATTTATCGTCTTACTTTTTTAAAAAAAGACGATAGTAATAAATAATTGGAGTTAAATATCAAGTGCTTTGACTGCAAGAGTATAAATCATGAGCAAATAAACTTGACGATCTAGTAAACGGAAAATGCAGTCGAGTTGACAACAAAATGTCTTGATTTATACATAAACATATAAACAGTATGCATGAAAGGACTCAGAGATCAAAGGAGTAGTTGAATTTATGTTTTCATACAAACAGATATCGATATAGATATAGATATAGATATATATAGACCTAAACATGTCGCTTTTGTCATTCTAATAGGGATAATGCATCAATTATAGAATCTGTGAACGCATTCCGAATTACATGGCATCGCATAAACTGGCATCCGATCGCTAGCGATTATGCTGCCAATAAATTATCCCTTCTGGCGTTACTATACCATACGTTCGCTACCATACCAGCCAGCTCTCTCTGTCTCGCTCTTGCTCACTAACCTTCTGATTTATTTCGTCAATTGATATTGACCCAAATAACTTTAACTGATAATAACTTTAATTATTCACTACCAAGTGAAAAAAAGGATATTGTTCTATAATATTTAAAACCAATTAAATTTTTTAAGAAACAAATCAATCAATCGATATCACCCTAATTGTTTGTTTCTTCCCACACGTTATCTTTTTACCCTCGTCTCTATTTAGGTGAAGAAAAAAAAAGTATCGTGTACGCTGTAACTCACAATGAGGATGAATGATTTTGCTAAACGATTGATTGACAGTATAACTTATTGCCCGTTTTATTTTCACATTTATCATTCTATTGTATTAATTCATGAAGATTACAAGGTCATCAGTGTTACACACTAAACTGATTTTTTACCACTCATTTATTTACTGACTCATTCAATCTTCATAATTTCACTTTTATTTTACTTTATTATCAAGCTTGTTTTGGCAATTACAATTGAGTACATGGAAAAATTTTTGAACCGAAAAAAATCATTTTTAAGAGCTTGATAATTTTTAATCCAGAAAAAAAAATTTTTCAATGGAATTAATTTAGTGATAGAAGAATTTATTTATTAACTTAATAAATTAATTTATTTTGAAACAATTTATTCATTTATTATATAAAAATAACTGTCTTTTTAATTTTTAGTGAATATTTGTTGAAGAGAAAAATAATAGATAATATTTATTTATTAATAAATTGTTAAAAAATTCAATAATTATTATTAAAATTAATTATAGAGTTTAAAAAAAATTTATATTTGATAATGTAAGTTAAAAATATTTTTTTTAATAATTCTAATTATTATTTCATAAAAAATAATTTCTTAACAAGTACGAATGTTCAATACTTAAATCAAAAAAAATTTTTTTAGTTCAAGAATTTTTTTTCCTAATTAAAAATCATCTCTCATCAAAATGATATTCTTGATTCTGATGAATTAATTTATTTTGAAACAACTTATTGACTTATTATATAAAAATAATTGTTTTTTAATTTTTATTGAATATTTGTTAGGGAGAAAATTAATAGATAATATTTATTTATCAATAAACTATTAAAAAATTTAGTAGAATTTTAATTTATATTATTAAAATTAATTATAGAGTTAAAAAAAAATTTATAATTAATAATGTAAGCTCACAATATTTTTATTAATAATTTTAATTATTATAAGTTTATAAAAAATCATTTATCAACAATTACTAATGTTTAATAAGAATAAAAATTTTTTAGTTCAAGAATTTTTCTTCTAGATTAAAAATCATCTAACTCATCAAAATATTCTTGATTCAGTATTTTATTTTTAATCAAATTAATTTTTTAATTTATTTAAAAATAAAATAAAAAACTCTATCAATATAATTCAAATAAAAAAAGTGTTGATAAATTATAAATAGAGTTGTTATTTGAGGAACGAGTCATTGACAAGTGGAAAATATTGAGAATGGTCAGACACGTACGCCAGAGAACATTGACATTTTCTACTGTTTGCTGATACAATGCCACCCGTGTAGTGAATAAGAGTGAAAGAGAAAAGTAATGTATACACACATGTATATAATAGTAAAGTCGATTCACTCTCTCATGAGAATAGAAACTCGTCGACTGCACCGACTTGTCTCCGGGTACATTTGAGCTTTGTTTTTAGAAAAGACCACGACAACAGACAAGTCCAAGACTTTCATTTATATTATTTTTATTCTTATTATTTCTTCTTTTCTAATAATAAAAAATAATCAAATATTTTCATCATTGAATGATCAATTTGTACCTCTTGAATTTTTTATTATTATTATTAAAAAAAAGAAACATTAATTTTTTAAAGAAAAAAAAATTTTTGCAGTGTTGCCTTAAGATAATAAAAGTGTTGGAAGAAACACATGTGCCCAAGCATCGTCATTCAGGTCAAGGACCCTAAGAAAGTGCACCGTTGGTTAAATCACGCTTCCCAAGTGTTGAGAGTATGTCTTCTGGCGGATAAGTAACATTCACGAGTAGCCGGTGTCGAGGAGAGAGTTAAGAGGAAAAGAATATAAAGAAAGCCAACAACAGGATGGAAAAAAAGCAACGTTTGAGTGATGTATGTTGGTTAGGCAGCGAGCATTTAAGGTACCAACTCTTCTATCAGCATAGACTATACTCTGACTACTGTATTTTTATTTTTTATTATTTCAGTTTACTTTTTTTTTTTTAAAGCAACTGGACTCCCTCGGGAGCGAACGAGACCTCAGTATTTCTATAGGTACTCATCATTCACTCCTCTTTCTCTTTCATCCTCTTCTGCACTCATTTTCCGCAATCCGAAGCCCACCCCCGTTCCTTTATCTTATAGCTTTTCCACGGTACTATTTTACCCAGTTCACTCATCGTTTCATATTTTTTTTTAAACTCTCTTTTTCTATGAAATCTGCGTTGATGATAATCTCTTTTAAACTTTTAAAATACGTGTCTGTCTCGAGCCTTTTTTATTTTATTTTATTTTATTTTACTTTCTATGCACTACTTTTATACTAAATTATGAATTTTAATGGAATGGTTTAAATTTTTATGTTTTACAACAAATAATAATAATTACGATTGATAAAAAAAAGTTTAATTGTATGTTAGAGTAGGCAATATAAATTATTAAATTTTATGGTTTTGTGGACAAACTTGTTTTTTGTGGCTAGTGAGATATATTTGAAGATCCGGAAGTTTCTCAAGCCAATTATCTATTCAAATTCATATTTATGTACTGAAAAAATTTTATCATTTTTTTTCTGACAACAAAACTTGCTATTGTCCTATTTCGAAACATGGCATATGATATTTTTTACATTTTCTCCAATTTATCTATATTATTAAGAGAATAAACAAAATTTTGTGGCCAGTGTATTTAGTCAATTTATGATAAGTATTTAGGCTGCATTCGAAAATGCTCTATTGCTAGATACATAATTAAGAAATGACCTTGTATCTCGTGAACTATTGACATTTTTAAAGATATAAGCTCATCTTGATGTTACACTCATCAAGACCTTTCATTTGAGTACCCACATCAATTTTTCATATATTTATATATATTACATATATGTATATATGAAAAATATATGAAAAATGCATGTAGGTATTCAAATGAAAGCTCTTGATGAGTGTAACATCAGGATGAGCTTAGATCTTTAAAAACGTCAATAATTGAGAAATTACCTTGTATCTTATGAACCATTTGCATTTTTAAAGACATAAGCTCATCCCGATGTTACACTCATCAAGACCTCTCATTTGAGTACCCACATTAATTTTTCATATATTTTATATATTTATATATATTACATATATGTATATATGAAAAATATATAAAAAATGCATGTGGGTATTCAAATGAAAGCTCTTGATGAGTCTAACATCGGAATGAGCGTATATCTTTCAAAACGTCAATAATTAAAAAAGTACAGAGCAATTTATCAAAAATCCCAAATAGAAAAATTATAGTTTAAAAAAAAAACGTTTTTATAAATTTTATTTTTACTGTTTCGAATATAATTCTGATAATCTCAATAATTTATTATTTGATAAAAAAAATTTCTCTTCAAAGTAAGAATAAAAATAAATAGTTTATACCGATAACAAATTTCTGTAGTAGATTGATTTAAAGGTTCATTTTTCTTGATGAATTAAAAAAATGAGGGTAAGAAAACACAACTACGTTAATGCGCTTATCCGGATAATTATACACTTGGCATATTCAGCAAAAGCTATCCGAGGTTTATATACTTGTATACTCAATTCCATAATTTATAGGTTGTATAGATACATATCCATTGGGTATATATAATATCGTAGGATAATATTGTTTAGTATAAAGAGTATCTACAGATATATATATAACGATGAAGTGGAAGTGTATACACTTTGAAATCGGATTCAGAGCGTAACGTGGGGTAGCTCATGAATCACGGTTAAAAGCCAACATAATGTTTCGACACGATTGATTTCAGTATCTACCACTTGTCAAATTATAAATCATTTAAAATCCTCAATTATTATTATTTAAATATATTTTATCATTATTATTATTGTTATTATGATATTTAAATAGATAGATAGAAATATAGGTTGGAAAGAGTCCAATGGTACAAGGACCTCTGACTCTGTTATCTCTGAAACTCATCGGTATTATCAAGATTATTTTCAAGAGTATTGAGATTGTGGCACGTTTCCAATGTCGATTACTAAAATCTGTATAAACTAAAACAAACTGCCAAGTATTTATATAAAATACAATAAAACTTTTTTTTTTATTTTTATTTTTATCGCCAATAGAAATCCTCGAATCATCCCGGTTGTCACGTTTGTGAATTCTGATTCAAGAATCCAAACTAAATATTATTCGCGATAAAGTAAATATATTAAGTGGTAATGAAAAATAAAAAGAAAAGAAACGGGGAAAGGTAAAAAAATCCACGAAGAAATTTAAAACTGTCGTCATGGACCAAGTTCACACAACGTTAAACTTTTTCTCCTAACTCGCAGTTGCGTCGACATTTCCAGCTTGCTCTCAATGACAAAGTTTCTCAATTTCACTTCAACCCTTAGTGTCTTCACTAAATTTTATTTATTTTTATTCCTATCCATGAAATATAAATTAAAATATTTATTTTTCTTTTTTAAAAAAACTTTCCGCTGTATGTACAAGAGAACAGTACTTTTATTATCAAGTTAAATAATTTTTTTTCTTTTCGTTAATTAATACTTAAAAAATATTTTTGTGTTAAAAAAATAAAATTACGCACTAACGTAACACCGAAACTCGGGAATTTCGTTACCCTTGGCACTCATTCACGCACGTGGAGTTTGCTTTGCACTCAAAAACAAAATAAAATTCCGACATTGCGTCGTTGAAAAAAAAAAAATTTTACTAAAAACAGAACTTTTTATACTCGTGGAAACTAAAATATTTGCATAGAAAAAAAGTAACTTGTACGAAGAAAATTATACAACAGTATTTGCAGACAATTGTTTAAAAAAAAAGATCGATAAATTAATAAAAAAAAAATTTTTTTGGACATTTAGTAAATCGATTTACTTCTAAATAATTTATAATTAATTTTTTAATTAATTCTAAAAAATTAATTCATAAAATTAATTCATAAAAATTAATTCACAAAATTAATTCATAAAAATTAATTAATAAAATTAATTCTAAAAAATTAAAAAAAATTTTTTTTTAATTCAATAATTTAATCCGAAAAAAAGAAAACTTTGCTTTAATAACCAAAATAAAAAATGAGACTGACCTATGGGAATTTTGTCCGGTGCAGCAGCTGCTGAAATTCCAGGCACAAGGATCACCGTCACCATTAAAAAGATTCCACACATGATTAAATTAATAAAATTAACCGGTTGAATATTTTTACTCTTAATAATTTTACAATCACTATTTTTCCGACTTGAAACTTGCGATAATCGTTGTCTGAGATAAATTTCCCGATTTAGTTTTTGTCCGAGTGTTTGTTTGTTTATACTTGGCTCGTTAATAAGTGCCGGTGGTCGCGTTAATGATAATGAAAAGGAATAAATATCCGTATGAGTTGACGGAGGTGATGCTCCTCCCTCGACGACAAACGGGAGCATCTTCCTCGCACGATAGTCTCGACACAAACTGATAGTAAAGGAGACTACTACAGACTAGGACCCGTTAGCTTAAACTCTGTTCACTTGGATCCCAGCATCCCTCTCTCTGGACTGCACCCTCAACCCTCTACCTTCCACCCTCCACCCTGTGCCCCCCTTTTACACATCGCGCCGACTCCGGGGCCCACCCTTGTATCCTCAGGGTGGAAGCGTACGCTTAACGCGCATGTTACGTCACACGACGCACATACAACTGAGAGAGAAAAATAGTAAGGGAGGAGTTGATGCTTGGCTCTATACGCTGCTCTACTGAGACTGATGCGATGTTTCTAGGACGACACGATTCTACCTTTTTTTTTTTATTTTTATCATTTTTTTCACATAATCTGCTAAAATGTATTTATTGTTGCTGTTGTTATTATTTTTTATTAATAAACAAGTAAGCTGCTTGTGTTTGCAACAGTTCATTAAATCTGTATTATTAAGAGAATAAGCGAAATTTTATGGACAGTGTATTTATATGATGAAATGGGTTTTTATGATTAAATTAATAGTCAATTTATGATGATAAATATTTAAGCTACATTCGAAAGTGCTCTATCTTTAGGCACATAATTAAGAAATGACCTTGTGTCTTGTGGACTATTGACATTTTTAATGATATAAGCTCATCCTGATGTTACATTCATCAAGACCTTTCATTTGAGTACCCACATGAATTTTTGATATATTTTTCATATATAAATATATATAATATACATAAAATATGTAAATATATGAAAAATTGATGTGGGTACTCAAATAAAAGGTCTTGATGAGTGTAACATCCAGATGAACTAATATTTTTAAAAATGTCAATAATTCTCAAGATACAAGCTCATTTCTTAATTATTGACATTTTTAACGATATAAACTCATCCCGATGTCATACTCATCAAGAGCTTTCATTTGAGTACCACATCATTTTTTCATATACTTTATATATTTATATATATGTATATATGAAAAATATATCAAAATGCATGTGGGTATTCTAATTAAAGCTCTGGATGAGTGTAACATCCGGATGAGCTTATATCATAAAAATTGTGAATAATAAAGCAATAACGTTGTATTTTGTCCACTGATGATATTTTTAACGATATAAGCTCATCCTGTAGTTACACTCATCGAGACCTTTCATTTGAGTACCCACATCAATTTTTCATATATTTTATATATTTATATATATGTATATATGAAAAATATATCAAAAATACATGTGGGTACTGAAATTAAAGCTCTTGATGAGTATAACATCCGGATGAGCTTATATCTTTAAAAATGTCAATGGTTAAAAAAGTACAGTGCAATTCAACAAAAATCATTATTTAATAAAGCAAAAATTTTATTTATCTACAGTTCACAAGTCACTGCAGTCATATTATGACTGTAAAGATGTTAGTAACAAATAAGTCAATATTAATTTTTAGTATTTAAAATTAATTGCTCGAACTAATTGCAATAAGTTTTACTATTAGGTATTACCGAAAATTGTAAAGAAAATTTTTTTAATTTGTATAAAATTTTCTGAATTTAAATGAATATTTTAATAATTGTTTTTTGCCTAAATATAATGGAAAAATTATTAATAAAATTAATCATTATGTAAGTTATAAATAAAAATTTTAATTAAAATGACGGACTGTGTAAAATTTATGGTAGAATTAATGTATGAGTAGTAATGTTTTTTAAAATTAAAACTTTATGTTATATTTATTATTTTTGTTTCCTCTCTCGTTTTTTACCGTAGTATTATGTGGGTCAGATTAAATACAAAATTATGGAGTAACGAGTTGGACGATAAAAAAAGTTTTAAAAATTTTTTTTATCGTTATATTATAAATTTATAACATAATATAAATATATAATGTAAGTAAAGTAAATATTTTACTGTTAGTATAAAATATTTTGTTTCAGCCGAGCGCTAAATTATTTTATTATAAATAAAAATAAAAAGCTAAATAAAGTTGAGTGTATCATTTTCCGTATACGGTTATTATAGTTTACGAGATACGGTTCTCCGGCTAAACGCCCGGATTTCCATGCTGTGTTAGCTCATTCAAGATTCTTATTTGGAATAAGTATATACAGGCATATACTACCTGATAATACCAGAAGTGAGTGCTTTTATACGTAAAAGCAAAGTTACAAACAAGGATCCTCCGCGTGGTGGGTACCTATATAACTTTTAAAAAGCTCCTGCTTCCCAGTATGCCTTTCCCATCGATTATGTACCATCCCTTTACCTCAACCTTTGCTTCTATTTCTATAAAATTATCCCGTTCCTTTTTCCTTCCTTGTCTCTTAATCCAGCTGATAAACTTTTAAAAGTATGAATTATTGAGATAAAAGTTTAATACAACAACAAATACCCGACAATAAACAAATCTCTGTGATTTTAAGGGCACCAGACGGCAGAGATATAAAAAGTAGCATATAAAGATCGTAAACTGTTAAATTTTAAAAGAGCGATCCAACTCTGACGGGCTTGTAAAACGGTTAGCTACGTGTTCTCAAGTTTACAAGACGTTTATTTCATTGACTGGAGTCACTTGGGTTTCTCACGCGGATAAAATCGACCTACACTTGGTGTGAATCACGTCACGCTGCACCATAAAAAAAACTCGTGTAAACAGTTTTTAAATTTAATTGCGAGCATTGAAAAAATTTTTTTAGAACCTTTATTAAATAAATAATAAAAGTAGAGATGGATGGATGGTTGTAGCACACAGAAAGAAAAATTTCTTGACTGGAGAACAAAATTCTTGGCTCAAGAAAATTTTCGGGTGCCTGAAGGAAGACCGAAGTTGTGTTGGCCGAAGTAAAAATTTTTCTTGAAATTCTATTCTTGGTGGAAGTCATTTTTTGTTAATTTTATCATAAATACTTGATACAATAAATTTTTATATTTGATCAAGATTTTTAGATACTTTAGGGAAGCAGCGCCACCTACTTCAGCTGAGAAAAAAATTTTCTCACCTTGAGAAAATTTTTCTCTTGAATATTTGATACCCATTTTATGTTATTTTAGCGTGTACAATATACATATTGGATGAATTATACATATTGGATGAAAAAAAATGATGAAATATTATTTGATCTTCCCATTTGACATGTTAATCAATAAAAATATTAATGAAAATTTACTTCTATCTTTATATTTAATTTTTTGGAGCAAGAGAGAAATTTTCTCAAGACAAGAAAATTTACTTCTATCAAGAACTAAATTTTTTGGAGCAAGAGGCTGAATTTTCTCAAAACAACAAGATTTTCTTGACTTAAATAAATTTTCTTGGATCAAGATACGTATTTCTTAAAGCAAGAAAATTAATTTTGTTGAAATTTCTTGTGTCAAAAAAAAAATTTTTTTTTGCTCAAGAAAATAATTAGGTAGTAAAATATTTTCTTGGCTCAAATGAACTTTTTTTTCTGTGTAGGAGAATTTAACATTTGAAACAGTAAAAATTCTACTCTTAAAATATATATTTTACCGGTCCAAGCTAGTCAATAATTATAGTTTGATTTTCAGCATTGCGTTTAAAATTTACCATTTGTACTTTGTAAATATTGACGTTGCTTGTATAGAAAATTTAGTAACTGTAGTTGGTATTTTTTACATATCATGCGATCATTTCTTAGGTACGAAATGATAAATATCAAAGTCAAAATTCTTAATTATTATACTTAAACATTTCCGACATTCACATAGCGAATATTACTGTTTGAAATAATGACACTGAAGTTAGCAGACGTCTAAAAATTTTTGATTTTTTTTATTAATTAAATTACAGCTAAAAAAATATTTATAAAAAATTGCACTTATAGTTTATCAAGTTTTTTACTTCATGTGACAATTTTTTTTTTAATTGTTTAATTGAAATTTTTTCAACAAAAAATTTCTAAAAATTTTTAAATGTCGGCAAACTTTATTTTCATTTGAAATAGTATTTTCTTCCATGTAAGTAATAAATTGTAGCATTTAAACGATAAATATTATAAAGTGATTATTACAATCACGATTTTACTGTTTGAAATGTTAATTTTTCCCAACTGATCATTACTTATTATAAATCGACGATTATTTATTACAATTTACTCTTTTCTGTGTAGCAGTTATAGTAATTGTAACATAGCTTCACCATCGATTGCACTTGTATGAGCCGGCAGAATAAGCAGAGGAACACAAGCGGAGCGAGCTATTATAAACCCTGATGCGTGCGCTATTCAGCCACGAGCTATTTCAATATTACCTTCTGCCTCTACTCAGCTGGTACATATAATACAACATCCCGGTGTGTACTGACTGGGATGCTACTGACTAACAGACCGGACCAGACTAAACTCTGCAGCCCGTCAACTCGTCATACACTCCTCCCAAAGTGTCAATCGTTGATATCAGTATGTATATGGAATATGGACGATGGACACAACATACAACATACAACATACAACACACATCACGGCATTATAATATTAAATATCAGTGTAGGGTATATGTGTACGCCGAAACTCAACGAAACTTAATCTATATATCATGTGTGGTGCTGGATACACTCACTCACTCACCATAGTGCACTTATCGGTATGCAATTGTAGATATTATGCAAACATGAGCATGAGCACGTGTATATACGTCCAAGTACACCACTACTATCCATATATCTACTCTGTCTATCTATCAATCTATTCTACATGCTATATACCAAGCCATCAACCAATATAACCGCTTTCTCTCCTGTTCCTGCTCCTGCTCTTACTCTTACTCTTTCGCGGATGCAAACATCATATCGTATCCTATCCTAATGTCTTCTGAAAGGTACACTTCAATGAAATAGAACTTACCTGATCATACATGCGACGATAACAGCCAGCTATTTATATATGACTTTAGTTTCCACGTATATCTACCATTGGAGCTCGAGTTTCAATGCTGGAAAGCGAACCGCTTGTCTTCCTTGCTGAGAGAATTATAAAAAATGAATGAAAATTAATTTAGCAGATATTTAATAATTTTTAGAACTTTTGTTAACAAATAAATTATGGCAAAAAAAAAAAATAAAAAAAAATTGGCATATAGAAATTTTAAAAAATTAAAAATGCAATTTTTTTTTTTAATAATTTAATTGTTAAATAAAATTAAAAATTTGTCAACTTTAATTGTCATAAAAAATAAAAAATTATAGCAATTATTATTTCGATATTATTTATTAATATAAAAGGTCTTACCTAATTTTTTTTATTTAATTTTAGTTTTATTTATTCACTTTACACTTGTTCACTAATTTATTGAATATGAAAGTAGATTTGATTTTTTATAAATTAAAAAAATTAATTTTTATATTAAAAATCTAAAAAATTGTATGAAAGTAAAGTTAGCTGATATTTCAATATTTTTAGAAATTTTTTAGGGAAAAAATTTCAATTAAATAATTAAAAAAAAATTGCACTTGTAAAAAACTTTAAAAACTATAAGTGCAATTTTTTATAAAATATCTTTTTAGTTGTAATTTAATTAATAAAAAGAATCAAAAATTTTTAGACGTCTGCTAACTATTTATAAATAAATAATAAAAAAAAATTAATTTTCTAATTTTTCATCAATCTTTAATAATTATGAAAATTAATTTAGCATATATTTAATAATTTTAAAAATTATGGAAAAAAAAATTACTTCAAAATTAAAAAAAATAAAAAATTCAATTTTTAAAAAAAAATTTTTTTGTTAAATAAAATTAAAAAATTTATATTTTATATAATAAAATTTTATAATTTTGTATTTTATTTTTTAAAAAAATTTGGTAAAATAAATCACACGGACAAAATGGCGGCAAAAGAATAAAATTTCCTCATTTTAATTTATATTATATAAATTATTAAATTAATTTTAATTACTTTCATATTCAATGATTTTAATAATAATTACAACAACGCACTAAATATCAAACGAAAATAAGAACACTTCAATAATAATCATAAGTTGTCAAAATTAAAAAAACATTCGCGACCTACCGTACGAATTTGACACAACTCAAGTTCCGCGTAAATTTACTATCTCACAAACTTTAAATAATTATATTATTATTATTATTATTATTATTAATTATTATTCTATACATCCGCGATAATAAACTATTATTACTATCTATAATCAATAAATACTAAAACCTCTAATTACTTTAATTAAATTAAAAGAAATTATTAAAAAACTAAGAGCCTAATTCTTTCCGACCGATCACTCCAACCGTCACCCGGCTTATTACGTAGTTCCGCAGTGTCATCAAGATGGCGCCAGTAATTCCAAGGCGGGAAATTTAAAGCAAGCTGCGCATGCGCAGCTTATTTAATTTTTAGTTTCTATCTCAGCCGCTTGACGTCTCTCGTAATACGTTTATTTACGTTTTGCCTTTCACTACATTCACCAGCACTGTAGCAGTCACATTTAACTCAGTTTTTCAGTCAACAAAGTGTTTTTGATTTAATTTATTAATTAGTTATATATTATTTATTATTCCGCGGCAATATGTCGACAAAAATGGACCCAGCGTTGCTGCAGCAACGCGAACTGTTTAAAAAACGCGCAATTGCTACTCCAACGTAAGTAAAATTCTTATTAACCTATAATTTATATTTATAATAATTAATATAAATAATTAATCAATTTATTTATTAAAAAAAAAAATTTATTTTTTATAGCGTAGAAAAAAAGAAACGTGAAAAAGAAACAGAGCGCGATGATGCAGTGCTAAAAAAGCCAAAGGTTTCCTCCTCGTCGAGTGCTTCCAAGATTGACACCACTAGTTATAAAACTACTACTGGAAGTTCTCAGTATAAATTTTCAGTATTAGCCAAGATTGTTAAGCATTTAAAAACTAAGTACCAGGAAAACGATGATTACCCGCTCTCGCTTGATGAAATTTTAGATGAAACGAATCAACTTGACGTAGGATCTAAAGTATGTTTTTTTTTTTTATTTTTCAGTAATTTTTTCAATTATTTAATATTTGTAGTAAAAAAAAAATTATACTGGTCAGCAGACTCTTGAAAATTTTTTAATTTATTTTCAGTGAATATTAATGATAAAAAAATATTTTTTAAAATTGCGTCAATAATTTTTTAAGTTATTTATTTTTAAATAAAAAAAAAATTCTAGGTCTACTAAATTCATTATAAAGAAAAGAATCCTTTTTTAATAAATTATTTTAAATAGTTGAAAATATTTATATTTAATAATTAAAAAATGTTTAAATATTTTTTAATGCACTTGTAAATACTAAATTTAATCTACAATATTCAAATTTGTGTTTACATAATTTATATTTACATGCTACTACTAATAATAATAATAATAATATTAGTAATACTAATAATAATATTTTTTAAAAAATAGGTAAAACAATGGTTACAAACAGAAGCACTAGCTCAAAATCCAAAAATTGAAATGTTGCAAGATGGTCGATTTATTTTCAAGCCAACGTACAAAATAAAAGACAGAAAATCATTGTTGAAACTTCTCAAACAACAAGATTTAAAAGGACTAGGTGGTATTTTATTGGATGACATTCAAGAGAGCTTACCTCAATGTGAAAAATATTTCAAGGTAATTATTAATTATTTATAATATTTATCATAATAAATATTATAATTATTATTTATAATATTTAATTATTATTAATAAATTATTAATTCACAATTATTAAAACTAAAATTACCAGACACCTAAAAATAAAAAACATGAATAAAATTTTTTTTTTAATTCTCAGGTGGTTAAGATAAAAGACTCAGTTATTGACACTTTCAATTCTGCTTTAATTAAAAAAAAAAAAAAACAAATAGGATAAAAGATTCCATTACTGACACTTTCTTTGATTTTGGTACTTATTTAATTAATGAAATTAATTTCAATAAATATATTATTTCTCATTTTTAAAACCTTGAGATCAAAAAAATTTTTGATTATTAATCCAAGTAGAACATTTTTTAATTGAAAGAAAAAGTGCCATTAATGGGGTCTAAACTCTAATAAATTAATGAATATAATTTTTGAATTACAATTTTATGAAAATTGATTTTTTGAGAACATTTTATTTTTTTAATAAGAATAAAATTGCAAGTGTAAAACAACTAGGCCAGTGTCAATAACTGGGTCTTTTACCTTATTTAAAAATTCATATTATTAATTTTATTTTCCATTTTACAGAATTTACAAAATGAAATAATAGTTGTTCAAAGACCATTGGACAAGAAAAAAGTGATATTTTACCATGACAAAATGGATAATATACAAATAGACGAAGATTTTCAAAAACTATGGCGCTCTGTCCCGGTTGATGCGATAGACGATCAGAAAATAGACGAGCACCTGGAAAAACAAGGTATCGCGAAGCTGAGTGATCACGGACTGAAGAAAGCACCTCCTATCAAACGAAAGAAAGCAGCGAATAAACGGAAACATCTTAAAAAGCCACGCGACAACGAACACATGGCAGATCTTTTAGAGACGTATGGAGACGATAAGTAGTTATTTATTTCATTAAGATATAATCATCATTACTCATAAGTACAAAATAAATAATAATAATAATAATTATGTTAGTATCTATTTTATTAATTAATAACTTTCGGTAAAATTGTGGATTGAACAATTAACAAATTTGAGGTGAAATAATAATAAAAAAAAAGAATATTAGTATATATAAAAAAATACTTGTCTGTACATTTAAGGTAGTTAAAGTTCAGTAATTATAAATATGGATAGTTGATTAATCTTTAGGTAAAGCAGAATCACTTTTTCCTCGTGAGTAAGCTTTAGTAGCTTTACTTCCGAGCATACGATCCAATAGCGACTGTTTATTCCGTCTTCTCGCAGCTAAAACTTCTCTGCATAATTCATGAAATGATTCAGCGATCTGGGCTACCTAAGGTCCAATGAAAATAGAGAAAAAGGTTGAAATTAATAGTAGGAGCCAAGTAATTTAGTTATTATATGTTTAAATGGGTTATTAAAGTTACCTGCTCGGCAGCAGTAACTTCACTAAACCAACACTCAAAGTCTTTGGCCAAAATTTCACCCTCTTCAGTGCTGACCTGACGTAAGTGAACCATGTCTGCTTTGTTTCCAACCAAAGCTAAAGGCATCGCTGCTTCTGGGTCGGCCACCGCAAGTGCTTGTTTCGCTTTTCTTACAAAGTTGAAGGAACCTCGATCGGTTATTGAGTAAACTAATAGAAGACCATCCGCCCATTGCAATGTTTCCATTGTTGGCATTTCCTCTTCACTCTTTATTTGAATTTTAATTATAATAGTTACAATTATTATTATTATTATTATTTATTTATTTATATTATTATTTTGTTACTTTCAATAGGATATGAATCTCGGACTAAAATGAATTTTTAGTCTACTAAAACAAATTTTAAATGCAAAATATTTTAAAACATTAATACAAAATTTAAGTTTTGAAATATTAATTAGATTTTCAAGAATAATTTGAATTTTTTAAAGTTTTATAGATTAATTAAAAAATAATAAATTAATTTAGAGAGAATTATTTAAGAAAATGCTTTTAGTAAAAATTAAAAAATATTGATACAATTTTTTTTAAATACTAAAATTTATTCAAGCAAAAAGGTTTAATTAATATTTTAAATCACAAAATATATTTCTTTATTTTTTCCTCCGGATTTTTTTTTAAATAAATAATATCAACAAAATCTTTCTCTTTAAGTTCATAATTATTTAATAAAATTCTTTATTAAATAATAATAAAACTAGCAACTTTGCAGTCACTGTATGACTGCCGTGACTTGTAAAATATAAATAAATAAGATTTGCTTTATTAAATAATGGATTTTGTTAAATTGCACTTTACTTTCTTAACTATTGATGTTTTTAAAGATATAAGCTCATCCCGGTGTCACACTCATCAAGAGCTTTCATTTGAGTACCCACATGCATTTTTGATATATTTTTCATATATACATATATCTAATATATATAAATATATGAAAAATTGATGTGGGTACTTAAATGAAAGATCTTGAGGAGCGTAACATCGGAATGAGCTTATATCTTTAAAAATTTCAATAATTCACAAGACATTTGTTAAATTGCACTGTACTTTCTTAAATATTGACGTTTTTAAAGATATAAGCTCATCCCGATGTTACACTCATCAAGAGCTTTCATTTGAGTACCCACATGTATTTTGATATATTTTTCATATATTTAATGTAAATATATAAAATATATGAAAAATTGATGTGGGTATTGAAATGAAAGGTCTCGATGAGTGTAACATCGGGATGAGCTTATATCTTAAAAAATGTCAATAGTTCTCAAGATACAAGGTCATTTCTTAATTATTGACATTTTTAACAATATAAGCTCATCCCGATGTTAAACTCATTAAGAGCTTTCATTTGAGTACCCACATGCATTTTGATATATTTTTCATATATTCATATTTATAAATATATGAAATACATGAAAAATTAATGTGCGTACTCAAATGAAAGGTCTTGATAAATGTAACATCATGATGAGCTTATATCTAAAAAACTTCAATATTTCACAAGATACAAGGTAATTTCTTAATTATGTATCTAGAAACAGAGGATTTTTAAATGCAGCCTAAATAATGACACTCAATTTCACTAAAAAAAACCGATTTTATGATATGACTATCCTGGAGACAATATTTTTCTTATTATAGATTATATAACAAAAAAAAATATAAATTACCTTTGGACATGTGTCTAATATTTCAAAAAGTATCGGCTCGCCATCAACAAGTACCTCATGTTTATACCGATTTTCTGCAAATGAAATTTTATTCAATTAAATCAAGTAATTTATTAGAGCGGTCGACAATCCAGTAAAATACATTGTATAAATTTAGACCAGACGTCGAAGACTCTGAAGCATGCAGAGTAAAAGAAAGGAAGAGGACAATAAACATAAAGTATAATTCGCTCCGCCAATATGAATCAGAGATAGAGATAAATAATAAATAATTTAATAATATAAAATAAAATAAATAAACAATATATTATTAGTATTACCTTGTTGATGGTCATACTCGCCGATATAACGCCTCGTCAAGAATCTCACAGTCAAGGCTAAAACATTGTAAAGTAAACTTTGAAATTAAACAAATAAAGTTGCATGTATAATATTATTTACAAAATACGGCAACCCGCGTCGCGTTATTGTATAATTATAACTACCCGTTGTATTCAGAGGTTTATTTTACGTAAACTTATTTTTCATACGTCCCTTTTGTCAGTTTAACTTTATAAACACAAATTTTCCGCGTATGCATATATATATACATTATAAATTCCATGAATACTATTATTTTCATTTAAAACCGGATGTTATACAATAATTATTGCTATTTTAAAATACTAGGCCCGACAAATATCGGATTAGAAATTCGACTCCAAGTGGCAAAAAGTACCGAATAGAAGGAAGTTAGAATAAAATTGAAATAATAAAAAAATAAATAATTAAAAAGAGGGTAATAAAAAGATAAAAGACAGAGGGGAGAAGAGAAGAAATGTAAAAGAGCAGGCAAATGCCACCCGTTCTACTCTCTGACTCTGCTTGCATCCTCTGAATATTTAGCAAGCTCCTTCTTCCTAAAGAAAGTTATTTCCCATTATTTATTCCTCCCTTTTTTTTACTTTTTTACTCATTCATAAAATCATCTATATGTATGGAGATATACTATATAAATATATATCCTTTTTGAATTTTTTTTCAGTTAATAAATAATTACTAGCCCGGTATAAAATTTTCTTTATTTTATTGATCAGAACAAAAAATAAATAAATGAATTTCATCTTAATGATTTTTAAAAATTTTTAATGACATTAAAATAAATGACAATAATTTATTCAAAATTTATCTAAAAAATTGACCAATAAAAAAATTTATAAAAAATAAAAAGGCGAAAATTCAGGTCAAGACCTTTCTGATGATACAAAATTTAATTATAAAAATCCCTTTTTAAATAAAAATATCCCAAGAAAATTTTCCTTAATCTCTTGATTATATAGATTATTATTGTTATTAGTATAATCTTCAATATTAAATATTATATTTATCCAGACATAGTATATATACGTAAGAATAAATAATATGGACGAAAATGAGTGAAAAATAACGGTCGAGCGATGATAAGTAGCCTGGGGGGTAAAACGATGACGGTGTTCCGTTTGTGATTCTAGTCGCGGTTAATATTTGAATATTCATCGAGAATACCCTTATCTCTATCCTGGAATATAATGACTCTTTTTGTTGCCTCTTTTTAACTTGACAAAGTACTTGATGAGATGATAATCTTTATAATGAGCTCCGATTTTTCTTTTTATAATTACATTTTTTTTAAATTTGAACTCGGCGGATTTATTTGTTTGAAGTAATCTAGGGTCTGAGAGTACTTGTGGTGGTTTTCCATCGGAATAAATATTGTATTAATTGAAAAGTATAAGTGTAACCCAGTGACCTGGTTCAAGTGGTACACCACACTATTTTTATCGTCAATCTTACTACCCACTACTACTATAGATATATATATGCATACTGTTTACCACTATTACCACACATATATCGTCATAATACGTCCGCGAAACCTTGCTCAACTACTTTGCTTACGTTTACTGATCTCATAATTACTCTCTTTATATCAAATTCATGTCTCATAACTAACTTGTATCTTATATCTCTTTTGTATACAGTGTTATTATTGATAAAACTATTTTTTTATTAGTTGAACAAATTGTTACAATTATTTTATGTTCATTACGGTCATATGTCAAGTTTCAATTTAAATATTTAGGTATTGATAATTTTTTTTTCTAATAATTTGACCTGATTATTATTATTATTATTACTAATATTTTTGTTTAAAGTAAAAAAAATGTCAATATCTTAAAAATTACGATAATAATAATAATAATAATAATAATAATAATAATAATAATAATAATAATAGCAATTGACAAACTTGCAGTCACTACGTGACTGCCTTAATTTCTGAACTATAAATAAATAAAATTTTGCTTTATTAAATAATGACTTAGGTTAAATTGCACTGTACTTTCTTAACTATTGTCATTTTTAAAGATATAAGCTCATCTTGATGCTACACTCATCAAGAGCTTTCATTTAAATACCCACGAGTTTATATCTTTAAAAATGTCAATAGTTCACAAAATAAAAGGTAATTTCTTAATTCTGTATCCAAAGATAGAGCATTTTCGAATGCAGCCTAAATACTTGTCATCATAAAAACCCATTTTATCATATAAATACACTGTTCACAAAATTTTGCTTACTCTCTTAATAATATCGATAATAATAATAATAATAATAATAATAATAATAATAATAATAATAATAATGAAATTTCAAACATCAAAATTATTATTATTATTATTATTCATTGAAATGAAAAAATTTTTAATAAATTAAAAAAACAAAATAATAATAATTATAATATAAAGTAAATTTAATTTTAGATTTAAAATTACGATGAAAAGATATTGAATTATGATTTTAAAACGCACTTGAGATTAAAGTCTATATTTGAGGTAAAACATAAATAGCAAGAGCCTGTAAGTTGTTGCACAGCTGCTGCTTATACTGAATAAAACTCCTCTAAAATTTATTTATCCACTTGTTGTTTTATAAATCTAATATTTAATTGATTTAAAAAAAAAAATAACAATAATTAAAAAAAAATCCATAATTTTAATTAACTTGTCATTATTATTGTCATTGTTTGTAATGAATACAATTACAGAGTAAAAACATTGTTACGGTAAATGCTGAGTTGGACCGTTGGTCTCGGTAGCGAGCTCATTTACCTAGTAACGCAAAAAACTCGGACTAATTTTAATATAATGCAGAGACCTTATCTACGTATGTAATTATTTAATTATTTATGCGGTATAATGTTGAAGAAAATACACATTTGTACATTTGTAAATATGAACCTAGTGAGAATTATGTTCTCTTTAAAAAAAAAAAAAAGTGAAATTAATGTTTCTAAAAAAAATAGATATTTATTTTTTTATTCATTAGAGAAAACCCGTTGTTTTCTTTTCTAGTTAGTTAATTTATTTTTATCCCAATGGAATTTTTTTAAACAAACAACACTGTTACACTTTTTTTAAAAATAAATAACAAAGCTAAACACAAGATTATTTGTAGAGGAGTTGAGTAAATGATATTTTATTTAATGGGACATGTACTATAATTAAAACTAACTTTTTTGGATCATCTCATTAATTATAATAATTGGGTGAAAGATATTTTAATCTCTGCACAGAGAGAAAAGAATTGATCTTATTCCTATGTAGAATGGTAACCATTACTTATTATTATTATTATTATTATTATTATTATTATTATTATTATTATTATTATTACTCTCAGTTCACTAATTTGAATTTAAAAATAGATGATTTATTATAATTTTCGTTAATTGTAGTTCCAATACATATTTTGTACTTTATTTTATAAATATAATAAATAATTCACGGAGAAAAATTAATATATTAATGATTTTATTACTATTTTATTCGTTTTGGTGAGAAACCCCATAAGTCAATCAACTACAAATCATTATTATAAATAATAGTAATTAACAATTAAATTTTTTTATACTTGAATATTTTTTCGGGATACTAACATTATTATTATTCATGATTGGTTCATGATGTTAATGAAAACTTAACCGAGAAAAATGTTTTTTTGCTTTTCCTGAAAAATTTAGTATTTTTGACTTATGGGGTTTCTCAAATAAACGATTCACATAGGAATAAGATCTATTATTTTCTCACCATGTGATATTTATTTTTTATATTTAATTTTATTATTTAAAAATTATAAAATATAATTACCACTTTTTCCAACACCCGGAGCACCAATAACAGCAACTTTAACTTCACAAAGTGAACTTTTCTTTCTGCGTATTCCTCTTATTGCATTACTCGTCATTTTACTGGCATTTGTATCTAAAAAATAATAAAATAAACAAGTTTATTTGTGGTGAGAAATGACAAATGACAAATAAAATAAAATATCAGGATAGGATTATGTAAAATAAATGGTAATCTATTTCTAGTCGCACTTTGTTAAAGATTAAAACCAACTGGTGTTAAGTGTTGGAGCAGTAATGTGAACGAGCTGTCTCAAAAAACAATCATACAATCTATTTTAATCTTGTTTAATATAAATTCAATTTTTAATAAATTTTTTTTATTATTATTATTATTTTTATTAATTCTGTTAGTAAACTTCTCTGTTGTCACGACAAATTAACAATAACCCGCGATTACGATGTTCTCTCAAGCACGCGCTGTTTAATTTATTAAATCTTTTGCCAAAGATTTTAATTCAACTGTCGGATGTACTAGCTGGCAAATATCGTAATTTATAATATAAATTATTATTGCACCAAAATAAACAGAAATAAGTAATATATGTGCTGTCTATGTACGTATGGATGGGTAGATGTGGAAAGAGGAAGATACCAACCAATAGGATTATCTGGGATGTGTATGCAAAGTTTAAGTACAAGTTCAGTGATGCACCCAGGGACGTTACCGCAAATCAGCCAACGGCTTACTATATAATATCAAATTTATATTAGAGTCTTATGTCTATTTTTTATAGACCAATAAAAAGTCGAAATCATTATTTGTGAATGCTCCAACCAGGTGTCTGTCAAGTAAATTATTTAATTTTATTGCAAGTGAATTTTAATTTTATTATTAAATATTTTGAATTCTTGACAAATTTATATAATATTTTTTATTAAGAATTCAATAATAATAATAATAATAATAACAATAATACAAAAAATCTCTATTAAAATAATAATAATTGTTATGATTATTGAATGAAAATTTGTTCAAAAAATTTTGGAGCTATTGTTTCTTTTCTTAATTTTAAAACAATAATAATAGCTAGCAAGCTTGCAGTCACTATGTGTCTTATGAACTATAAATAAATATAATTTTGCTTTATTAAATAATGAATTTTCTTAAATATTGACGTTTTTTGAGATGTAAGCTCGTCCTAATGTTACACTCATCAAGAGCTTTCATTTGAGTACCCACATGCATTTTTGATATATTTTTTATATATACATATATATATAATAAATACAAATATATGAAAAAGTGATGTGAGTACTCAAATAAAAGGTCTTGATGAGAGTAACATCAGGATGAGCTTATATCTTTAAAAATGTCATTAGTTGACAAGATAGCAATGTCAGTTCTTAATTATTGACATTTTTAAAAATATAAGCTCATCCCGATGTACCGCTCATCAAGAGCTTTCATTCGAGTACCCACATGGATTTTGATATATTTTTCATATATTTATGATACAGAGTCATTTCTTAATTATATATCTAGAAATAGGGCATTTTCAAATGCAGCCTAAATAATGACACTTAATTTCAGTAAAATAAAACCGATTTCATCATATAACTACCCTGGACACAAAATTTTTCTTATTCTCTTAATAATATAGATAATAATAATAATAGTGAAAAATAAAAAAAAATTAAATTTTTACTAATTAAATATTTACTTAAATTTATCAAAAAAATTATAATACTTTTTACCTATAAATATTTTGATTGAATGTAATTTAGATGTTACTCCACTCACCACTCAAAAGTAACCCACCAATCATAATTACTCACAAATAAATATTTATAAATGATATTAATAATAATGATAAGTAATAACAGAATAGACTACAACTATCTGTACAATGAGTGAAAAGTTTTACCGAGTACTGAATGCACGTGCAAATAGTTTATTCTACACGGAGCAATGAAACATAATTATAAACTTCCGGTGAGATATTTAATTTTTAAAACAGGTCACGTGCTTGCACACTTTACACCAAACGTTTAATAATAATAATAATAATAATAATAATAATAATAATAATAATTAGTGACACAATATAACAATTATTTAAGCGACTTTATAAAAATAAATTAGCAGGCGAGATCCGTCCTGCATCCGGCGGGTTTGTTAGTTCGCGCCCGACTGTCTTAAGACATTCACTATTTATCTTTTTCTCTTCATCTTACACTTCTTCCTCTTAAAATTACCTTCATTCTCATTCGTAAACTCGGCCTTTTTTCACTCGAAATAGCTGCCAAAAAAAAAACTTCTCTGACATTTATCATCAATAATTACATTTTTATTTTATTTTATTTTATTTTAGGGACACATAATTTAATCCAAGTACATAAAGTTTAGATTTTTATTAGTTCAAATGCTCAAAAAAATAATTAAACTCCAATCAATGGGAACCACTTGGACAGCCGCCAAAAAGCCAACGATAGGCTCGAGCCACTATCGGAGTAACACGATCTAAAAAATTAAAGCAAATTTTAAAAAAATATTTAAATAATTTAAAGTTGATCCGCGTTAATAAAAATCTACAATAACATTAATTATAAAATACAAACAAAAAATTTGGAAAATCCAAAAGTGCACGCCTCATAATCTCATTTCTTACAATAAAATTGATTAAAATAAAAAATAAAAAGCAAAATAATAAAAACCAAAAAGGTTTAGTTTAATTAAAAAAAAAAAAATAAATCAACTCTAATAAATTAATGAATATAATTATGAAAATGAAGTAAGCGGACATTTCAAAATTTTTTATTGAAAAATTTTCAACTAAACAGTTAAAAAAAAAATTCACATGTAAAAAACTTGAAAAACTACAGGTGCAATTTTTTATAAATATCTTTTTAGTTGTAATTTAATTAAAAAAAAAAAAATCAAAAATTTTTAGACGTCTGCAAACTTCAGTGTCATATATAATTTTTGAATTATAAATTTTGATTACTTTATTTTTTTAATTAGAATAAAATTGCAAGTGTCAAACAACTGGGCCAATGTCAATAATAAGGTCTTTTACTTTATTACATTAATTTAATGTACTTAAACTTTGGTAATTAATAGCAAAATCATCGATAATATTTCAAGATTTGCATCTAAAAATTGCAAAAATTCAATTCTACAAAAAGGTTTGGAAAATCCAAAAGTGTAAGCCTCATAATCTAATTTTTCACAATAAAATTGATTAAAATAAAATATAAAAAGCAAAATGAAAAACAGAAAATTCTGCTATGGTTTAGTGGCGCCATAATTTTAAGGCGAGGAAAAAAAATACTATACTAAAGGGTATAGATAGATATATAAAAAAATACATAAATTATTTTTATAAAATACTTGAATAAAAAATTATATCATTTGTTGCGGATCAATTTTTGGCTTAAAAAATTCGCTTAACTTTAAACTATCAAAATACAAACTTGCCATTAATTATCGGCGGGGGTAAAAAATCATCGGAGTCATCCGAGTAGATATCTTCGTAATCCACGGGAGATATTTCTTCTCGAGTGCTACGCCGACTGCGTCTCGCGGATTCCCTTCTTGCCGACGGAGGTTTTCTTCCTGACCAAGAGCCGTCATTACCTCCGTTAACTTTATTGCCATCAACTACCAAATTCTCAAACTCCATTCTTTTATGACCGACATTAATACTATCTTCACTAATTAAATCGTCAATTAATTTCAAAGCCTCATACTCCTTCTGCTGTCTCTCCTTCTTGTTCCCGTCAGTCAGCGACACAATTTTCCTCCGAATTTTCCGCAACTTATTCTTAACCTCCTGGTCATCTTCTTGTTCTTCATCAAAATCTTCTTCAGCTCGGTAAAGATCAAATTTCTGTTTGTTTTTCCGTTTTTTTAATTTTCGGGAATTTTTTACGTCTTCACTTGCGCCAGGAAAATATTGGTCCTCATTAGAAGGCATTCCTTCATTTTCCAGGTAAAAGATATCATTTTTTTTACTCATCATTGATTTGTTGCTCTTAAAATCACCGACGAATTCTCTAAAACAAAAAATAACGCAATTTTTAACGAATTTTGTCGATTATTAAATTATTAATAATTAATAAAATTAAAAATAAGTACCCGGAAAATTGATGGAAGCCTCGGGTAGGATAAAGTCTTACTTCCGACCACTCTCTATTTATTTCAGCACCCTTATAATGATTTTTCGTAGATTTACCTTCCTTTTTCCGCTTTTCTTTCCGAGTTTTTAATGCGTCGCGTTTTATGTCATAAGATTTGCTCGAAAAATCTGGTTCTAGGGAATTTAATATTGTTTTGAGCCCAAGCGCTATGCCGTCAATTAAAATCAGACATCCTTTTCGAAAATCTGAAAATTTTTGTCGATAAAATATTCCGTCAAAATAATTATTTTTAATTTATTTAGTTTTAATGCTAAGGCATTGAGCCGAATGGCAAATTTTATATGAATAGATTGTGTTCAAATAAGTACAATAAATATTGAACACAGAAAAAAAAATTTACTTGAATCAAGTAAATAATTTTGAAGAACTTAATCTTATTAATTTGAGTAAAAAAATTTTTAAACTAAGAAATTTTTCTTGATTTAAATAAATTTTACTTGATTCAAAAATTTTTCGTCCTAATTCAAGACAATGAAACTTTTTAAAATTATTTTCTTGATTTAAGAATTTTTCTCTTGATTCAATTTAATTTTTTTTTCTGTGAAGTATTAATAAAATATATAAAACAGGTTGCATTTAAAACAAGATGTGCATCATATTATTATATACATCAAATTATTATATTATTTTCCAACATACTAATTTCTAACTATTAAGTATTTATTACTTAATAAAAAATCTAATAATTTTGAAAGTATCTAAACTAAAAACGTTTGCAATTTTAATTAATCAGAAAAACACTTACATGAACGAGATATGGGAATAAAGTAAAACATAATTCCCAAAAATGTAACGCTCGGTGCGATTATTTTTAGAAGATTCCATTCTTGAAGATTTTCATCCATAAATTTTGATATTTTTTTTTTATATTTAGGTTAATGAACTTGACACTTGGAATTTAAGTTTGAGCATTGGATTTGTGAAAAACAAATGAAAAAGGATTTAAATGTAGTATATTAGCCTAAAAAAAAAACTTACTTTGTTTATATTTAGAGTCTTATAAAACAATATAATAATTTGTCAATTTTTTGAGAGCTTTATTATTTTTTGAACAATTTAGAATTGAAATTTAAAAAAAGAGACTCTAAATTTATAAAAAATTTCTTTTTCTAGGTCACCCTAATAAACATTTTTCGCGTTTTTGAAAGTAGTTCTTTTTCGTTTAGTAAAAAAATAAATATTTTTTCAACGAGATTACGGACTAACTGAAGAAAAAGTAGTACTTGCAAAATCAACAGCCGAAAGACAAACTTACATATTTTCACAGGAGACTCTAAATTAAAAAAAATTCCTTTTTTTTTTTTGAGCTACGTAGAGTTATAGAAAAATTCTAAACAATATAAGATTGAAATCTTAAGATTTTATTATGCTCACAATTTACAATATAATACAAATAAAATCTAATAATAATAATCAGGTGGGAAGGGTTCAATAAATTTTTTTTCTAATTATCATTATATTCATTTATTTATCCACAAACGATCAACTGCGCAATATAAGTGCGTAAAATACGGTTTAAACTTGACAATAAATTCATTACAATTTCTAGTTATAGCTTGAAAACTCCCCGATTTTAAATATACTATCCAAAACTCTCTATAGCCTCATTAAAGTGCTATCGGGGAAACATTCCTACAATATAACATACTACAATACCGTAAAATTTCTAATATTAATCGAACATTTTATTATAATATTACCATTGATAGAATATTAATATTAACATTAATAGACATTACCATTAACATTAACATTGATAGAATTGATATTGATAACGTGATCTACTCAAAAATTTTTGGTGCGACCAGTGCATAAAATAAATGATTAAACAAATATACATATATCATTTTAAAAATATAATTCTAACATAAGATAAAACATAATAATAATATTTTCAAAATACAATATAACATAATTACTGTTAAATATTTATATATTTAAATCCACGAATATTTAAGTCTCACTTTTCCTTTCTAATTCATAAATGAAAAATAAAGGCTCACAGAAAATATTTTAAAATAATAAAAATCGCTTTTCACTTCGCCAAAGTTTAATTTAAAATTTTTTTTTTAATTATTCTAATTATACTTTCTGTTGTCGTGAGAATTAAATATTTGTGGATGATAATAAAATAAAATAAAAACATAATATAGAGATTGAAAATAATGATGGATGGGTGATTTTATACAGGAAAATGATGAGTACGTGCATTCAAATATTCTGATGAAGAAAGACAAAAAATACTGTATGCTCGGAGGGTTTTTAAATATAATCTAGGTTACAAGATGTTCAATAATTTTAAGGGGGTATTCTTGTCTAGAAGCATTAAATTTTAGGCAATTTTTAAAAAGCCGTAAAAAAAGGCAATCAATATTTTGACAATCCATTTTTTTGAAAACTAAAAATATTCAATTGTAACAGCGTATTTTTTTATTTATTTTTGTTTAGTATTTTAAAAATTTTTGTCTCAAATAAATTATGGCAAAAAAAAAATTGAAATTTTAAAAAATTTAAAATCCAATTTTTGAAAAATAATTTTTTGGATCAAATTTATTTGTTAAAGAACATTTAAAAATAGCCAAATAACTACTCACTTTAATGAAAATTAATTTAGCAGATATTTGATAATTCTAAAAATTTTTTTAACAAATAAATTATGGGAAAAAAAAATTAGAAAAAAAAATTGACATGTTCAAATTTTTAAATCCAATTTTTTAAAAATAATTTTTTTGATTAAATTTATTTTTTAAAGAACATTTAAAAATAGTCAAGTGACTGTTAACTTTAATGAATATTAATTTAGCAAATATTTGATAATTTAAAAAATTTTTTTAACAATTAAATTATGGCAAAAAAAAATTGAAATGTAGAAATTAAAAAAAATTGAAAATTCAATTTTTTAAAAATAATTTTTTGGATCAAATTTATTTGTTAAAAAACATTTAAAAATAGTCAAGTGACTGCTAACTTTAATGAAAATTAATTTAGCAGATATTTGATAATTTTAAAAATTTTTTTAACAAATAAATTATGGTAAAAAAAATTTGAAAATCCAATTTTTTAAACACAATTTTTTGGATCAAATGACTGCTAACTTTAATGTCATAATTTTTTTCTGTTTTTTTTTATAATATTAATAAATAACTTATAAAAAAAATAGTAAAAATATTGATTGCTTTTTTTACGGCACTCAAAAAATTACCTAAAATTTCAAGCTTCTAGACCAAAATCCCCCCTTAAGGGTTATTAGTTACCAATAATTAATAATTAATAATTAATAATAATATATAGACTCTTAGATTCTTGTAGCTTGCATTTTTTTGATGGCATTCGTCAGATGAAGTATCTCAGTGTTGACTTGATTGACAAGACCCTCGAGTCTTTCGACAGAGTCAAGAACTTCAACTCTCTGCGTGTGTGGGTTGAATCTGACCTCGAAGGGCCTGCTCATGGTGCTGACCCAGCGCCTGAATTTTTCTTTAGCATCCTCGAAGCTTTCCGCGACGTAGTAGATCGGTTGGAAGTCTTGGTCCTGGTACGGCTGGAGGGCCGTGGTCGAGGGGTCGAATGGTCTGTGCTCACATTTGTCACTCAGTGAGTGCAAAAGCTCTCCGTACGCTGACAGCAATCCAGCTCCGTAGGCCTTTACTTCTTTTCCTTCCTTGCAGAGACCGAACTCGACGGTGAACCAGTAGATCGTGGACAATTTTTCGATTTCTTCGTCGGAAGCTCCCAGGGAGGCGAGACCGATTTCTTGTGAAAACTGGGCGAAGCTTGGGTCTGCGAGCAGCGGCATGTGACCCAGGAGCTCGTGGATGCAATCACTGTTTGAAGATAAATACGTGTAAATAATATAATAGCATTCGTTGTTTTATTGAGTTATCGTTTTGATAGATAGATAGGTAATTTCATTATTAATTATTAACGGGGAGAATCACTTGGAAACTAAAAGTTAGTTATCAACTGATGCTAAAGCAAAATATAGGCGTCGTTGACGTTAAAAGCCAATTAGTGTTCCATTACAAGCTTCAGAGGCTACGGTAATTTTGTTATACTCTTGGCTCTTTATATTCAACATATATCTGGACATACTACAGGCTTATATTTTATGAATAATAATAATAATTTTTTTTTTTTTTTTTTTTCAAGACAATGAAACTTAAAAATGATTTTCTTTATCTTATTATTTTTATTTATCTTATTATGTTTACTTGATTTTAATTTTTAAGTAATTACATATTTCTTGAAGTGTCAAATTTTTTTATATCATTCTCACCGATAGTCAATTTATTATGATAAGTATTTAAACTACATTCAAAAATTCTCGATCTTTAGACACATAATTAAAAAATGACCTTGTATCTTGAGAACTATTGACATTTTTAAAGATATAAGCTCATCCCGATGTTACACTCATTGAGACCTTTCATTTGAGTACCCACATCAATTTTTCATATATTTATATATATTATATATATGTATATATGAAAAATATATCAAAAATGCATGTGGGTACTCAAATGAAAGCTCTTGATAAGTGTAACATCAAGATGAGCTTATATCTTTAAAAACGTCAATATTTAAGAAAGTACAGTACAATTTAACAAATATCTTGTGAACTATTGACAATTTTTAAGTTATAAGCTCATCCTGTCATTATACTTATCGAGATCTTTCATTTGAGTACCCACATTAATTTTTCATATATTTATATATATTATATATATGTATATATGAAATATATATCAAAAATGCATGTGGGTACTCAAATGAAAGCTCTTGATAAGTGTAACATCGGGATGAGCTTATATCTTTAAAAACGTCAATAGTTAAGAAAGTACTGTGCAATTTAATTAAAATCATTATTTAATAAAGCAAAATTTTATTTATTTATAGTTGCTAGTTATTATTATTAAAACTGAAAAAAAAATTGTTTTTAATTTTTTAATCAAATAATAATAATATCATGAATTGCTTTTAAATTTTTCAAAGTAAAAAATTTTTTAATTTTCCTGCTTCAAAAATTTTTCTACTTCATTTAAAATAATCAAATTTTTAAAAATAATTCTATCAAAAAATTAAACAATTTTTTCATTACTGTAGTATGTCCATTGATAACTATTTCAAAAAATCTGAATATTTAACAAAAAAAAAAATCAACTTACGGTTCAGGAGTATGGTACGGGCTGTTGATGTGTCTGACGTACTGTGTGCTTTGGAATATTCTGAAAGCAAGACTGGACAAAAAGTCTCTAGCAGTAAGGAGTCCAGCAGCGGGACGCAGAGTGAATCCGGTGTTTCTGTTCAAAAAATCGCTGACTTCTTGAAGCTGAGGAATGCGATGAGGAACGAAAATCTTTTCATCTCGTAGCTTTTTGAATACACGTTGGTACTCGATGCACGCGTGTTTTGGAACCAAATCAACGACAGTGTTAAAAACTCGCAACCAGGTCTCATTTTCGGTCTCAGTGTAGGGAATAGAAGGGATAGGGTCGCCGTATTTGTAAGCGAAAGCTATCTCGGCGATGATTTTCCTGCGAGCGCGGTACTCCTTATCAGCGAATCCAGGGTGATTCATGTCCAAGTCCGGCTCGTATTTGGTCATCAGATGGTTGCAATTGTCGAGATCGGAGGCGTGACGTGGAAACCACGGGTCTTTGATGCTGACAGAGTTGTCTGTGAGAAGGGTTACTTCTTCAAGCGCGGCACTTTGCCGCAAATTGCGGATCAGTTGCAACAGACACTGACGTGTCATGTCCACCTTGACCAGTACATCAAATTGAGAGCCTTCTTTACGCGATGGACGCGATTCCAGATGGGTGACAGTGCCCTTGAAATTTTCTATGGCCTTCAGTATACGCGCAAGCGAGCCTATTCCATCGCGTAAGCGTAGCATCAATGTCGCTTTTTGGATTCCTGTTTCACCATCCGGACTTTCGGCTATTGATTTTGCAAGTACTACTTCTTCTTCAGTTAGTCCGTAATCTGGTTGAAAAAAATATATATTTTTTTATTAAAAAGAAAAGAACTACTTTCAAAAACGCGAAAAATATTTATTAGGGTGTTGTAAAATATTTATGGTATTGTAGTATGTTATATTAAAATTTTTTTTAATTTTAAATTAAAATTCACTTTGGCGAAGTGAAAAGCGATTTTTATTATTTTAAAGTATTTTCTGTGAGTCTTTATTTTTCATTTATGAATTAGAAAAAAAAAATGAGCCTTAAATATTCGTGGATTTAAATACATAAATATATTTAACAGTATTTTGAAAATATTATTATTATGTTTTATCTTATGTTAGAATTATATTTTTAAAATGATATATGTATATTTCACGTGCTTAAAGGCAAAAGGACTTATAGCTAAGGGTTAATATTCGGTTTGAAATTGTCTGAAACGTTAACATCTGTGAAAAAAAAAAAAAGTTGGTATCCTAAAACTGAAAGGGCGCATCTCAAGACATACGCCCTTTCACCTTTAAGAAAAGTACTACGAAATACTATAAGGTAAAAGGGCGTATAAAAAAAATTGTATTTTTTGTACCAAATGTTAAATAATAGTTTCACAAGACAAGTTATACTCAAATAACAGCCTCATATACAAAGTTTGATATAAACAAATAGAAAAGAAACCAATCAAAAACAAATTACGTAAAAATTAAGCAATAAAAAAAAATCACAATGACCGATAACATTGAAATATTTTGAAATTTCCCGTTTTAATCGCCCTATTGAATATTACTACTGGTGCCATCCAGAATCCAAATTTTATAAAAACTATTTCTTAAAATAATAAATTTGGCATTTATAACATTGAAATTTTGACCATTTTTAATTATTTTTTTGAAGTTAAGATTGCAATTGAACTATTTTCAGGCAATGTGTAGTACAACTGACTTATGTACGTTATTTGATCAAGAATATCAATCAGTGAAATCTAACTTCCATTTCGAGTTTGGCCGAATGGCGTTTTTTGGATATATTTTCTTTTTTAACTTTAAAAAAATATTATTGTTGAGGTTTTACCCCACTACTATCATAGAAAGTTTTTTTTTTACATTTTTAAACTACGATTATGTTCTTTTGTAAACTGGTCAAAAAAAAATTATACGCCCTTTCATCTTTAGACCACCAAAATTTCAAATTCTTAAAAGTAAAAAAGGCGTATAATTAAAGACATACGCCCTTTTACCTTTATCATTTCTTTTTTCAATTTTAAGCTCAGAATATGTCTATTACTCTATTGGCAATAAAAAAAAAATATGTGCCCTTTTACCTTTTGGCACGCGATATTGTTTTATAAGACTCTATAAGTTTTTTTGGGCCGACCCAATACTTAAATCACTAAACCACAAAGTGGCACTACCATAAAATTCCGAGCGGTTAAATATATTATTTTAAAAGCGATAAAATCATAGAGGAAATAATCCGACTATTCAAAGTCCATTTGCTTGGCTATAAAAAGAAAAAGTGCTTTCGGAAGAGAGTGTTGAGAAAGTACTCGTCATTGTCGCAGACTCCAAACTCATGGACCGTAAAAAATTGCTCTATATATCTATAACGTCGGTAAAAATATAAGTAGTGCTAAATATATAAGAAAATTCTAGCTAATACAATTCTCAGTGCACAAAGCTACAGCAAAGACCTTTGTCAGTACTTCCGTAAAGTGTCAAGTGTGGGAGGTGCTGTTTTCACCCTCAATTTACTCGCCGTTTACCTCAATCATTTTTTCCTTCGTCTAATAATATTTTCCACTAAAAATTCTATTACAAAAATATCAAACTTACATTCGTCGGGTCCAAAAGATTTCTCCTCTCCGTCCGATGATGAAGCTTCAGCCTTAGCTTCTGCAATTTATGCAAAAATTAACACACATGCAATGATGCTCATGCCAAAAAATCATAAACAAAAATTCAAAAAAAAAAAATACCTCCATCTTGAGCAGCGCTCAAAGTTTCAGATTGTTCGTCATCGCTAGAAGACGTGTAAGGTTCCTCGTGGTCTTGCTGTTCTTGAGCGCAATTTGCTGGATCAGCACTTGAGTCTTTACAATCGAACAAAAAAAAAAAAACGAACTAAAAATCGTGCACCATGCAAATAAAAAACAAATATAATAAAAATATTAAAAAAACAAACCATTGGCTCTCTGACGGGCTTCTTCGAGAACACTTTGCTTGGTTTGCTTGACCACCAAAGTCTCAAAACGCGCGTCGTCGACAAGAGATCTTCGACGAGCTGGATATCCATTCTGAAACACAAAATAAAGGAACCAATTAAATATTAAATCAAAATTTGACCTGATAAAGAAAAATTTCTTGACTGGAGAACAAAATTCTTGCTTTAAAAATTTTTTTTAACAACCCAGATAATTTTTTATATTATATAAATAAATTTAAACTTGATTTGCAAATGCTGTGATGAGGCTAAATGGTGTCAATTTTAAGAGCATAGAGAGAACAGGGTTCGAATCCAGTCTTGGATTTTATTTAAAAAAAATTTAATATTTTTAAATTAAGTATTTACATTTTAAGCTGTAAAAATAAATTCTTAATTTAATAAATCGTCTATTTTTTAATGAAAATTTTCTTTAGTTCAATTTAAAAATTTTTTTAGATTAATTTTCATAATAAATTACTTTCTAATTAAAAATTAAATTTATTAGAATATCATTTTTTGGTTTAAGTTTAATTTTGTTGGAATAAGTGAAATTTCTTGTGTCAAAAAAATATTTTTTTTTCGCTCAAGAAAATAATTAGGAAGAAAAATATTTTCTTGGCTCAAGTGAACCATTTTTTCTGTATGGTTAATTCAACACAAGAGACAAGAAGTCCAATTACAGAACCATTCTGTCCAACCGGACTTTAAGACCGAGAGGAAATAAAGAGGAAGGCTTTGATCATCCGCGGGAAATTGAGTGCAAGCCCCAGACATTTCACGATACGGGTGGATGCGTTTGAATTAATAGAAGCTAATGCAGTGATTTCTTTAAAACTTAACTCCGTCAGAAGTGAATTGCAATTATCTATGGTAATTGTAGTTTATTGGCATCAGCAATAATGGGTAGTACTGACGTTAAATATAAATTGTTGAGCATGTTGTCGGTGTCGTCAAAGTGGGCCAAGTACTTTGCGAACGTACAGACAGCCGATGAGTATGTGATATTGCATCACCGCATAATCGGAGCTTGGATTATCACTAGGACTGCTATGGGACACCTATATAGGAGATTTGTTGCGTTAAAGGAGCCTTGATCTGTACTGCTGCAATAGACCAAGTGCTGTTTGCTGTTCGCACGCTATTGACCCCGTCTTCTTCATTTGATTCATTTATTATACTTGACATTTATATCGAGTTTTAACAAATTTATTAATTTATTTATCAGCCTTAGAAAAAGAAATTATTTATTTGATATAAAATTATTAAGATATTGAATTTAAATCTTCATTAAAAATCAAATTATTTGTAGAAGCATTAAAGTCTTTAAACGTTCCTAAAGCAATAAAATTATTAAGTCGTTGATTTTAAAATTTAATTGCTGTAAGGATTAATGAACGCTCTAGAGTAACTGTCTTACCTATATATTGAGAGAAAAAAATTATTTAAAAAATTTTACGTCAAAAAACAGTGTTAGAAATTTTTATATTGAATTTTTAACACTTTTTTGTGTAAATTTAACATTTATTCTGTTAATATAAGATAAAAAAGTGTCAAAAATTTTTAAAACGAATTTTTTTGACGCAATTTTACTGTATATTGTAATCAGAAATTAATTTTTTCAGATTTTTATTTTTTAGTTGAAGAAATAAAACATTTTTTTACAGTAACAAATTTTTAATGAAAATTTTTAAATTGTCTTAAATTATTTTTTTTTCAAAAAATTACTGTGAAAAAAATTTTATTTCTTCAGCTAAAAAATAAAATTAACAAATTAATTTGTTATTACAAAATTGCTCTTTTTCTTTAAAAAAATTATACAGTAATTTTTCATGATTTAAATTTAATATTAAAAATTAACTTTGAAATTGAAAATAAGAGCCAATTTTTTTTTAAATTGACGATTAATAATAATAATTTATAAAATAAAGCGATAATTCACTAATTATTAATAATAACTGACAATATTTCAGTAAAAAAAAATTTTTTTCAATAAAAAAATTTTATTTCTTCAGCTAAAAAATAAAATTTTTAACAAATTAATTTCTTCTTACAAAATAGCCCATTTTTTTTTTTTTTAAATTATTGTACAGTAATTTTTCATGATTTGAATTTAATATTTCTAATACTATTAAAAATTAACTTCAAAATTGATAATAAGAGTCAATTTTTCTTGAAATTTACGATTAATAATAATAATTTATAAAATAAAGCGACAATTCTCTAATTATCAATAATAACTGACAATATTTCAGTACTGTAATTATTGCAACAACTAACTTAATACTTCAGCAATTACTGCTAAGTATTAATTAATTAGATGAATAATAAATAAAAATGGAATTGATTTACATAGCGGATCACACGTGCGCAATTCTCTCGTTAGATAATTATAATAAAAAATAATGATAATAAATAGATATCAGCGATATAATTACCATTATTATAATTATAACTATTTTATAAACATAAATATTAACAAAGTCTTTGAGCAGCGGTAGGAGGCGGAGTGTCGAGCCTCCAAGTTATAACGGTTACACTTATGCTCGATCCTAGGTTTGTCTCAGGGACTTATTATATTTTACAATCTCTCGGTTCTCATATTTATAACATATTCGTAATTATCATGCCAACAAGGCCAATAAGATTTCTCAATCTCACGATTTCTTCGATCACGATAATTATAATCACCGTATCGTGATATCACGATAAGGACGATTAAGCTGAGGATCATCGGTAATATTGATGATGCTTCATATCGATCACCTTTTGAAAATTCGAACAAGGTCTCTGTTTTTCCACATCATCCAGCCGTCGCGTGATATTTTTTTATCATCCTTGCTTACATTTTTACTATTCATAAGTTTCAGTAATTATAAATATTATTTATCGGAGATTCTAATAAAAAAAAAAAACAGCTCTTAACTCTTAACTATCGAGTTATTGATGGATAATAAACATAATAAAATAATTGAGGACTGTACTGAGAAAAAAAAATTACTACTCTTCAGTAGGTAACAAATGAGTGAAGTTGTAGCAACAAATCCATTAATTGCATTAACAAAATGTTTCAAATTGTACACGGAAAAAAGAAAACAGGAATAATTACAGTATCAAATGTAAAATCGGTCCCGTCGTAATTAAAACTATAAAAATTACAGTTTTCTAAATTCAATTTTTTAATGTTAATTTTCAAAGCTTTCAATGTAAATATTACAGACAGTAAAAAATTTTTCGTCATTGTGTTAAGTATAAAAATGTTTGTGTAGAATTTAACATTTTAATACGTTGATTCAACACAGATTGTGTAAAAAAAGTCATCATCACAAATTTTTGTGTTAAATTTGACAAAAAATTGTTTACTGTCCATTCTACAGTGTAATTCTTATCGCTACCAAATTCTCCATACGATGACCCTCCAGTTTTTTGATCTGATCAAAAATCGAATTTTGGCAGGCTAAAAACAACCAAAAATTTGGGTAAAATTCAACTTTTTTTTTTTTTTGAAACGTCGCTATTTTGTCAATAATTAATATTGTTTTTAGACCGTGCGTTATCTTACGAACAATATCTTCTAGTTTAACTCGGAAGATATTTAATTTTTTTTTTTCAAAAATTTTACTGTATATTCTTGAAATACGTGTTAATATACCCTTAAAATTTTAAAACAATTTATGCAGGAGTTTTTTTTATTTTGCTATAATAACAAAACTGTTGTTGTTGTTGTTATAACAAATCAATAACTTGTTATTCCTTAAATTTTGTTGTTTTAACACATAATTTATTATCCCTATGTTAACAAATTCATCTTAGGTTATCTTAACAAAATTTTTTTCTACGTGAAGTGAACCTATTTATTTGTTAATCCATCAAAATTACTGCCAATATTTCATTATCATGATAGATATTGATATTCTTTTACCAAAAAACCAAAATTTATTTCAAACGATTCTCAATCCAAGAAATTTAACTCTAGACAAACTATTTTTTTTTCTCAGTGTGGAAAAACTGTGCCGAGTGACATAACTAGGTGGACATATCATTTGCGTGATCATTACATGTTTTAACAGTTTAAAGGAAAGTACTATACTGATTAAAGTATTTTTCTTTTAAACTTTCTCTAAGCCGTAATTTTCTTTAAAAATAAAAACGAATTATCTTTTTTTTTTCTAACATTTTATTTACATTAGACGATTATTTATTAACCGGTCATTAAACTTTGAGCTCTATCATTGTTATTTATTATTTTGGAGTCGCCGGTCGAATTTTCCTTTAAATAAAAATGGAGAATCTGTCTAGAGATTACGATGATGTGGAGAAAGTTCTTAACGGCTGAACTAACGGTGACGCGAGAGTTAATAAAGTGTTTGCTTGAGGAATCGGTTGTAATTTCGGAGCATTTACACTCGATCTTATCCAATTATTATATGTAATCCATCTTATTTGCGTAATACCGGAAAAATGGCTACCGAATAAATCAACCGTGAAGTTTATTAAAATAATTTAGTGAGTTTAAAATTTCGGTGTCAATAAATATATTATTTTGTTGTAATTATTATTATCCATTAGTACATTTAACGGCTTAATAAAATGTAAACCCGTTTTTACGGCGTGTAAGATAATAAATAACGATATTAATCAGCCAGCCTTGGGATTTCCTACAATTTGATGAATCTAGAATAAAGACTGAAAGGCCAAGGATTTTTTGTTGTATTTATTTTATTTATATTGTTGTTAATTGTTAATGTATATGCCCGAAGATATCCGTCAGGTTTAAATTAACGATAAAACAAAGACAACTATTGACAACTTATGTACCGCAAGGTTGACGTTGTGTAACACATGGACTATTAAATTCCGTAAACTTTCTCCACATATCTTCTTTCACATTCAATTTGGCTTCTTTAAACACCTGATGTCATGGGCGAGGATGATAGGAAATTTCTCTCGGCTTAAAGACTCAATCTTGCTATAAGTTGTCAATTTAGTTGTTGTTGTTGTTGTTGTTAGCGCATGCCGGAACAAGCAAAGAACCGCCAAGAGATAAATTCTCAAAAATCTTACAATTTTTTAAATAACCTTTTAATTTATTTTAATTTTGCTGATGTAATTTTTTTTTAACATTACGACAGTGCCAAAAGTCACGTAAGATAAAAATTAATTTCTTTTTGTTAAAAGTCGGTTTTTTTTTGTTAGATTTGTTACGCTTTTTTTTTAAATTTAAATTTTATAAATATGAGCAATATTTTTTTTAATTTAAAATTTTAAAATAAAAATTGATTTTAATAATTTTTTAAAATTACAAATTAACTTTAATAATTTTTAAAAATTAAAAATCAACTTTAATAATTTCTAAAAATTTTAATTAACTTTAATAATTTTTAATAAATTTTATCAAATTTAAAATTAACTTTAATAATTATTAAAAATTTTATCAAATTTAAAATTAACTTTAATAATTCAAAAAAATTTTAAATTAACTCTAATTTCTTACAAAAAATTTTAATTTAATTATTATTATTTTTTTAAGACTTCATTTTTTTAAAACACGTGTCAAAAAATATAAAAATAAAACTATTATTATTAATTAAAAAATAAAATTAATAATAATAAAACTTACCTCAATACTGTATGATTTTTTAATAGCGAACATTTCGCGGTTCTTTTGAGCAGCAGCAACAGCCATTGTCTTACAATGTGCAATAAAATTAAAAAACTCAAAAATTTCCACACGGAACCACCGGAATTAAAAAAATTCCCTTTCTCAAATCGAATTATTAAAAAAATATACTAAATACGCCTGACACTCGATATGAGTCTCACTGCAAATTTTCTCAAAATCAGGACAACGAAATATAATAAAAATACACCAAAAATAAAAATTCACTCAAAATAAAAAATATAAATAAATTATCAATGAAAAATTTTTTTTTAAGTAACTCAACTCACGTGTAAAGTGAGCTGAATATATTAAAATATAAAAACGACGAAAACGATAAATTTAAAATTTTTCAAACGAAAATAATGATTGTTATTTCGTGTCCTGCTTTGGCGAAGCAAAAGAGCGAATGCGTTGACGGGGCGGTTTGTCGCGGCATATAAACGTTTCCTCCCTTCACTGTCGGCGGTTCGGGTCAGGGGTGTCCCTCTCCTCCGACTCCCACCCTCATGCACTTAGCAAGGGAAAAGAGAGGGCTTTTGGGTGATCTGTTATCCACGCGCTGCCTTAAGACTTACGATCCGATCAGATGGTCCTCCTCACTTTCGTAACTCCACACACGCATACACTCGCTCTCCAGTCTTGAAGGTTCACATTTTTCTTCCATCTCCCTCGCACCGCTTAGCTCTTTTAATGTTATTTATATTTGTATTTATTATTTATATTACTTATTTCACTTAGAATTTTGCCTAGCGACGCGCGCACCTTACTACCCGCGCAGTTTTCCCATTGGCTGGTTTGTAATACGTGCGCACGCGGGCTTTCCAGAATTTAATAGAGTTATTTATTTTACTTACCTCTACTCCTACCTTTTGATAGTTAGTACAACGACAGTAATTGATAATAAATATAGTATAATTGTTTTAGTGTCTGGTGACATGACTCAGACCTACGGTCTGATAATCTGAGGTATGGGAATAATAATTACCCTTTTTTATGTTAAAATATTTAAATGCTTTTGATTAATTCTGAAATTCTTCGTAAAGTTTTTTTGAAGAAAGAAAAATATAGATTTTCTTTACTTTAAAATTTTATTTTACATAATTTTTCAATTTTTAGGTAGATTTTGTTGAATTACCTTGAATGATTTCAAAAATGAGCAAAATTGATCAATTAGTTTAGAAGTGGCAGCCATTAAAAATTTTTAAAATAATAAAAATCACGTTTTTGGTCATTTTATTGATGTTAACTTTTAATTGAATAGATAACTAATTTTTTGAAAAATTCATGTGATAGTTCATGAAATTACCTTTAATTTGACGGATATAACATTTACATTTTCACCATTTTTAGTTATTTTATTAAAGTTAAGAGTGTAATTGAACCATTTTCAGGCAATGTGTACCACAACCGATTTATGTATGTATTTAAATGTTTTTTGATCGATTATTAAAATTGATAAATTCTTCGGAAAGTTTTTATAAAGGAAAAATTTTCTTTAAAGAAAGAAAAATATGGATTTGTTTTTACTTTAAAATTAAACAAATACTTATTTTACATCCTTTTTCAATTTTTAGTTAGATTTTGTAGAATTACCTTGAATGACTTCGAAGGTGAGCAAAATTGATCAATTAGTTTAGAAATAGCGGGCATTAAAAATTTTCAAAATAGTGAAAATCACGTTTTTGGTCACTTTATTAATGTATAACTTTTGATTGAAAAGAGATAGCTAATTTTTTGAAAAATTCATGTGATAGCTCATGAAATTACCTTTAATTTGACGGATATAACATTGACATTTTGACCATTTTTAGTTATTTTATCAAAGTTAAGAGTGCAATTGAACTATTTTCAGGCTATGTGTAATATAACCGACTTATCAATGTTATTCTATCGAGAATTTTCAATAGATCCTAATGAAATTTAATATATAAATTCCTTGGACAGTTAGCTTATATAAGCTCTAAAATGAGCGAAATTTGTCAATAAGTTTAAAAATGGTAGCTTCTCAAAATTATCAAAATAGCGAAAAAAACTTTTTTTCAGTGTATAATATTATACATATTTTTTTAATTGGGTCAATTTTTCATTTTCTTTTAAAATCTTGGAAATTCTTTAAAGAAATAAATTAAACAAATACTTATTTTACATAATTTTTTTATTTTTATTAATCAATTTTTTACAACAATAATTAATATACTTAATTAAGTTCAAGAACAAAAAGACCGATTGAAAATTAGCAGTTTTTAATAACATTTTTATTAAATAAAATCCTTAAATTGCTTTTTATAATTTTTAATGTATTTTCTAAATAGTTTTCAAAAATTCCATTTACAAACTGCAATTTTTCCTGTTTTTTATTTGAGAAGTTCGAACTTTAATAACCTATACTGTAAATTGTACTTTTTCATATTTTTGACAACCGAAAATAGTTTTGAGCTTTAAAATAACGAAAAATTACATTTTTTTCTCCAATAACATAAAAATTACCTTTTGATACAATACAACATAGAAAAAAGAGCATTTTAAAAATTACCGTTTCTGGACTCTGAAAAAAATTAATTTTATTAAAGAATTTTTTGTCGTAATTCGAGTCAATGAAACTTATAAAACAAGTTGTTTTGTTTCAAGAGTTTTTTTCTTGAATCGAGTCAATATTTTTGTTTTATTTTTCAGTTTAACAATAAAAAGAATTTAAACAAAAATTCTGCATATTTATTTTTACTATTTTTAAATTGAATTCTTAAAAAATTTATAAAAATTCAATTTTCTAATTTCTTGTTCGAAGATACTTACCTTCTATAAATTGTACTTTAAACTATTATTTTTCCGTGAACCTATCGTGCAAGTGTAATTATCGATAAACACTAGAAATAATTATTACATTGAAAAAAAAAAAAAGTCTATCCTCAGAATTTAGAGAAATACCTGACACAAAAGCACTCATATTTCCTTCCTTAATAAATTCCGTTACTTTCCCAATATTACTTCTTAACAAGAATGAATATTCCAGCTCTCTGATTTATATATTTATTTATTTATTTTTTTTTTTTTTTCAAAGCCAATAACTATTAATTCACAATTTAATTTATGCTCTCGATGAAATCTAATCAGACTTTCATGTATCAAGGCTACCGCGCCTGTCTATACAGGATAACACTTGCTAATACCAATTACAAAGAAATTTGTCTTAGCATAAAAGTTGTTTGAATAAAATCTTGATTCTTTGTCTAGAAAATAATAATTTTACGGACAATAAGTTCCGATATAATTAAAAAATAATATTGAATATAAAAAAATTGTTAGCAGTCACTTTCCTTTTTAATGAAAAACATTATAAAAAATGGCTATTCAATTATTTTTTTACGGTATTACCTAATCACAATGATTATTATTTAATAAAAAATATAATACAATAATATTTGTAGTTTAGATCGGTAACAATTTACCAATGACCTTAAACTACCGGAAGAATTTAACTTCAAGGTCACCAATCAGTCATAAAATTTTCATTGTCAACAGTTGTAACAAAAAAATTAACCTTTACTATTACAATTATTCATAATTGAAAAATGATAAATATTAGACAGGAAGATAATAAGGTCTGAAGTATTTTTGAAGATCGGTTTATATATTATTGAAATATTAAATGATGAGTTGGTAAAAAATTAAAAGCTGATGAAATAAATAAAAACAAACAATAATAAAAATAAATTTTCAAAATAAAACGAGTGCATTATTATTATTGATTTTATATTTTTGAATAATAACAATAACAACAATAATAATAATAATAAGAATAATAAATATCAACCTTGCAGCCACTATTTGATTGGCAACTTGTAAACTATAAATAAATCACATTTTGCGTTATTAAATAATGAATTTTGTTATATTGCACTTTACTTTGTTAACAATTGACCTTTTTAAAGATATAAGCTCATCCCGATATTATACTCATCAAGAGCTTTCATTTGAATACCCACATGCATTTTTGATATATTTTTCATATGTACATATATATATAATATATATAAATATATGAAAAATTGATGTGGGTACTCAAATGAGAGGTCTCGATGAGTGTAATGTCGGAGTGAGCTTATATCTTTAAAAATGTCAATAATTTACAAGATATTTGTTAAATTGCACTGTACTTTTTTAAATATTGACA